CACTCTCTGTATCTCGCATTCGTTTAAAAGCCGATCCTGAAGCACCGGATTGAGCGCCAGTTTGCGACGAGTAGGCATTTTTAGCAGATGAGAATATACCTGGGAATGCTGCCTTGAATACAGGACGCATCATGGGAACACAGGCATTGGTAATTGCTAGTGCAGGTTCTGTGACACTCCAGAAGGCGGCCCAGATCATGCTGTACGAAAGGTCGGTGAAGTCAACGGTGGTGAGGACGTGGATACGGATGATCGTGATGGCCGAGATGCTGATAACCCACTGTTAGTTCCCACCGACTTCTGCAATTCAAGTTTCAGTATGTGGAGGCACTCACAACAAGCCTACGCCAAATATACCGTACAGAGCTACTTTCGTCCCGGTCGACATCTGCAGTTTCCAGATATGGTGAACCGGTAGAGCCATAATTAGAAGGTCTGTCACGAGATTGAAGGCACCAATGGTCGAAAAGGCGACGTTCATGCTAGCGCAATGACCAGGCAAAGCAGCGTTCCAGTTTTTCGCAAAGGGTTGACAGATGAGGAAGACCTGAAGCATACTTCCGAGCCAGTAGGCCCCCGCGCAGCCCATGCACACTCTGGCAGCCATGCGAAACCCAGGCGTCACAAAAATTCGAAGGTAGAAGAATAAGTAGGAGAACTTGGCGGTAACCATGGCGTTGTAATAGACGATTTGGTAGACAATAAGCATCTGGTTTAGTTAGCGTGGGAATCAAAGCGCAGAACAAGCCTTCACAACGAACCTGAAAGATCAAGATGGTATTCGCTGCCGGAAGCTCGGTAACATGGTGCCGCATGCCGACCCGTGCATAGTGGTACTGCATGGCGAGCATACCATAGGTATGCAGCTAGATTGTAAGTCAGTGCCAAGTTCATGTCCTAGTTCCGCAGGTGACCGCACCATAGACATCACAATGAATGCATCATCCCACCAGAATTTGCTCTGTCTGATCTTGCGCGACATGAATCGTAGCCCGATTGACGCTGTGCTCAGTGCTACCAGCACGGTATTGGCGATCAGCTGGTCGCGTACAATGGGGTACGCAAAAACATTGTAGAACTGAATCGCCATGCCGGTGTCGTGCCCCCGGGCATCATGGGAGCTGTGACAGGTGAGAACTTGGCCAGACAAGTTGGAACTCATCTTACACGGGCGTGCAAGGCTGGTGATACTTGAAGGAGTCAGCAACGCACAGTCCAAAAAGCCTTGCCCGTCCAGACGACGACGATCCGGCTTGCGATCATCATCAGGATAACTAGGTTCGGAATTGAGCCGTCAGCTTCAGGCTCGTCAGTGAATCTAGTGGGTTGAGCGGGACTCGCCAGGATCTTTGGCGCGACGCGCGGCGCTCTGTAGTGTTGATTAGTAGGGCTAGTCCGCGCAGCTAATCAACTAGTTCAAACGGCGGCCGCTGTCATTCACTCCACCAAAGCCAATCCAGCAATCTCCTGGCCAAATGCCAAGTGAGCACCGTTTGGGGGCTGCAGTATCCGCTCCACTGTGGCATTGCCAATCCTAACTTACCTTTATTTTCTTCTAGTTCGAGTCCCATCAATGCACTTGCCCCGTCGAGGCAGGAGTCACAAATCGAGGCCTCCTATTTCATTCCGTGCGGCCCTGCCGACCTGCCTGTTTCTTCCCTTCCAAACACGCAAGTGACATATTTCTCACCATGACCGGTCTGAAATCCTACGACTACATCATTGTTGGGGCGGGAATTGGTGGGTTGGTGCTCGCCTCCCGCCTTACCGAAGATACCAATGTGAAGGTGCTTCTTATCGAAGCCGGTGCCAACCGCATGGGAGACCCTCGCATAGAGACTCCCGGTTTCTTGGAGACCATGTATGGCAATCCGGATTTCGATTGGGATTACATGAGTGAGCCGCAAGTAAGGATTTGGCGTCTCAGTCTCGGGATTCTCATGTCGGTACTTGGCTAACCCCTGTTGCAGGTGCATGTCAACAACCGCCAGATTGCGCAGCCACGTGGCCGGGTGGTTGGTGGCAGCTCCACCATGAACTTCTCGGTAATCATGTATCCCTCAGAGGCCAATTTCGCCGCATGGAAGTCGCTCGGCAACCAGGGTTGGGGGCCTGAAGACATGGCGCCTTACCTGCGCAAGTTCCACACCTACACTCCGCCTTCTGAGGAGACTGCCGCTTTTCTCTCCTTGAACAAGTATATGAAGCAGGAGAACCAAGGCAAAAACGGTCCGGTCCCTGTCACTTTGCCTGATGTATATGGTCCCTTCAACCAGGCCTGGGATGAAACCTTTGGCAACCTGGGATGGAGAACAGATGCGGATCCCATCTCGGGCCGCAAAATTGGTGCATTCACTTCTCCCTTGTCTGTTGATGGGGCCACCGGCCGTCGCGGATATGCCGGTGCCTACTACTCGCCAAAGGTGGCAGAGCGACCGAACCTGGACCTGCTGGTCGAGACCATGGTGGAACGAGTCTTATTGACCAAGGATGCCGATGGCTTCGCCACTGCGACCGGTGTGCAAGTCAAGACCATAGGCGAACAGAGTCGCGAGATCGTGGCAAATCGTGAGGTGATCATTTGCGCAGGCAGTCTCAACTCGCCGCAGATTCTCGAACTGTCTGGGATCGGAAAACGCGACCTTCTGGAGAAGCACAACATTCCCGTCATCGTTGACCGGCCCGGTGTTGGTGAAAACCTCCAGGATCACTGCCTAGCAGCTGTCAGCTTCGAGGTTGCGGATGGACAAATCTCGGGAGATATTACGCGTGATCCCAATGTTGTGCAGTCATTGATCAAGCTCTACGAGGAAACGCACTCCGGTCCTCTTGCGGGAATGCCTGTTAGCATGGCATACCTTCCCCTGATGGACCATGAAGGCCAACTATCAAGCGGGAAAGTAAAAGAGCTCCTGACCCAGCATCTCGACCAGCACTTGGAGGATGCGTCATCTTCCCAGCAGCAGCAGTACGCTCTCCAACGCGCGCTTCTCCAAGAGGGCCGCAACGCCTCGGCACAATACATGTTCCTCCCCATTCAAGTGCACACGAACCCAGGCAAAACCACAATGTCGGACGTCCTTGCCAAAACTCTTCCCGGAAACTACATCACCATCTTGGTCCTGCATAACCACCCCTTCTCCCGCGGCTCCGTGCACATCCGTTCCGCCAATGCGGACGACAAGCCCATCTACGACCCCAAATACCTGTCCCACCCACTCGACATCGAAATTCTTGCCCGGCACGTCCAATACCTCGACCAGATCGCCGCCACCGAGCCGTTCTCAAGTCTCTTGAAGCCCGGTTCCCGACTTCCCGAACGGGCTATCGACTTGAATGATCTCGAGAAGACCAAGGAGATCGTCAAGGAGCGTCTTTTCACTTGCTTTCACCCGGCAGGATCTTGCGCTATGATGCCTGCCGAGATGGGCGGTGTGGTGGACTCCAAGCTGAAGGTTCACGGCACCCGAAACCTGCGCGTCGTGGATGCCAGTGTCTTCCCCTTGGAGCCGGCTGGCAACATCCAGGCTACTACTTATGCCGTGGCAGAGCGGGCAGCGGATTTGATTCGTGGGCTGTGATCTGCCGATAATGTTGCTGTACCTAGGATCGAAACTTGACGTTTGAATGTATTTATGGTTATTTGGAAATGTCGGAATTGGAATGAACGCATATACAGTGTTCATGCTTAATGATGCTGGCACATAGCGAATAAGGAACAGATGAAGTGGTTACCTTAGCACGCACTGCGTTGGGGAGAGCCCACGGGAAATCAATGTGCAATACTAGAGATGTAGATATGCAAAGAGCTCCTGGAAGTATGTACCGATAGTACTAATTGAGGAATTCCCGCCGTACTCTGTAGGTCTCACAATCCCCGACACGCCGGCAAAAGTGGCATATTGCTTCTTGTGCACCATTCGGATCAAAGAGAATACGACCAACCCGTATATCCCGGCTGCGCCCATGCCCTAGAAGGCCCGGCAAATGATTCTGTGGAAGGATTAGCAATAAGAAGCACTAGCATCGACTTTGATCAAGTGGCGAAATGGGTATCACAATTGGGACAGACTCTGCGCACCACCACAACCACCAGAAAATGCGGTGAAGAGGGCAAGAGATGTGAGCAACGTGGGCCGCACCCCCCAGATGTCACCGGCTTTGGACCAAAGCATGAGAAGCCTGCAGTGCTGTGAGTCTGTATACTGATGCTATGGTAAGTCTTCTGACCAGCATATGTTAGAAGATAGGAGGTGATGATCCAACTGCTTTTCCCAAAACCTTGTAGGTCATCTATGATAGCAACAAGCCTGGTGCCAATATTTGTTGTCTCGAGTCCCGTCAAGAATAAAGCTACGTACAGCCTTAGCAGGACATGGATGAATTAGCCACCGACACATGAATTCGGAAGAGACATCCTACCTACCCAGCGGCCCCAAGGTAGAGGCTAGTTCCTTCTAGTCCACCATCCCAGTCATGGTCAGTGGAGTTGCCAGGGTCTGTGGCTTCCTCTCGTCCCATTGCAAGGATAGTATTTGATATCTTTATTGAGTGAAAGGTGGCGGACGCAAAATAATTCACCACTGGAGCTTCATGTCAGGGACGGGGATGCGAATACGGGAGCTCTTGAAGGAGAATGATTACGTATTCTCAGCCCCATCCCTTTCGTTAAAGTTCTTGTGTCACTTGTCCGGTGGCAAGGAATTTGTGACAGGTAGCACAGGAATACTCCTCGCATGGGTCCGAGCATGATTCCTCTGCACAGCCAAGAATCTCGATAAAGTTACTCGCATGAATGAAACTAAGGTATTGCGATTGTGCTTTTTAAGTGAGGGATAAGGGACACAAAGACGTCATCGTAAATCACGGTCATCACTCAATATCTGGCTTACAAGATTTAAGGCAGGTGTCACCATCACAAACAAAAGGAAGATCAAGCATGAGTAGCACAAGGTCCGCAATTGATAATTCATAATTCACATCCTGATGTACTAATTGTTTCATGCCTGGCCAATTGCACGTTGGATCACATTTGCCATCCTCACCACATCCCTTGCCGCGGTCGGAATCTCGTGGCCGCCGTCGTGTACGAAGATCGACTGGTTTTCTTTTCTGCAGTAGCCAGGAGCCAACGAGGCCTTATCACTCCAGGCGTCTGCTGAGCCCCATATGTGTGCTGTAAGAATTGTGATTGTAGGCTGGCGATGCAAGGGCTCAAAACGACCCAGGCGGGGTGAGTCCACGTTATAGAGCTCTCCGGGATTGGAAAAAAGAACAGCTACTTTGAATGAAAGTGGCTGCGTACTTCCTTTACGGACATGGTCAAGAAGGAGGGTAATAGCTATGCTGATGCCCAGGCTGAATGCCATCAGTCCGTCATAGGGGCCCTTCGTGCGGTGGCAGTTTTCGAGATCGTGGAGGGCCTGCAGGCACGACTGAGGTTTATCTATGCCGCCAGGAACACATTCCAGGATCCGCTAGCCCATCACCGCAAACAATGTGGAGAGAACGCCGCAACGCTTGACCTCGGTCTCTTCACCTTCGCTGGACGGGTCGCCCGTGACCCGAAACTCCTTAAGATTATGCTAAGCATCCTTCCACACAAGCCTATCACAGAAGCTGAATTCCACGCGCTTCTTGACGTATACTGTAACCCAGTCGTCTGCGAAGAGAAGGGGATACCTTGCCAAGTATCGTTCGGAATGCGTCCACAAGATGAAGGTGCAGCACTCAAGGCCTACTGGGTTGGAAAGCCCACGTTTCGGTATATAGCTCAGGAGCGGCTATCGGAAGGGCAGCGTGAGCGCCAGGGCCAGTCCATTGATCTTTCGGCTGCATTCCGAGCGGCCGAATCATCGGCTGATGCCACCGCTATGGTTGTGAAGGCCTTGACCACCAAGCTGGCACGGACCTTAGCCGGTGAAGAGGATAACCTGAATGAGCATAAGGCTCTGCATCAGTACGGGGTTGACTCTCTGGTGGCCGTGTAACTACGAACTTGGTTCCCCAAAGAGCTCCAGGCAGAGGTTGCTACGTTTGATATCATCGGTCGCGCGACGATTACTTCCTTGGGCTGGGGTGGCTGCAAGTCGGAGTAAGCTGCCTCGGGGTTGGTCCTGATTGGATATATCTCGCCACCAGCTTGGTCAATAGCTAAACTTGAACGAGGGGATATCTGGGAGACTGTCATGTTATTATCGCATTGAACATTACATTATGCTATCCGAGTCTTTACCGTCAGTATAACAACGTCATCATCTGATTCCGTATGAGCTTGCTACAGAAACAGTCTTATAGTTGGTGGAAAACGTGGCACCATTCTGTTACCTGGTGGATTCATGTTTAACTCACTGGTCGCCCTAACCCGTATGAGGTTGCGGCATTCACTAGATGATCCCCCCACTCTTCCGTTGTCTCCAACTCGTATCCGCGATGAAGAGCAAAAACCTGGGGATAGTCCCTACTGCATAGGAATTCTAGTCTACAGCAATGCTAAGGTGTTGAGGAATGTGGCCCTTCATCCCTATATTTTTCTTGGCGCCAGCCTGGTCGGCTACCTGTTTCACAGCCAGGGCCTAAGGGGATTGTGGTGTCTTTATCATTTCCACTATAGATGCCATGGCGTAGATGAGTCCTTTGATAAATTAGTTTGGATAATTCGTGAATTCTCTACACTTATCTGGATTCGCACTATATTTTGTGTACTAACCACCAAGGCGCATATAGAAGGAGTAGTGACCACCCCTTGCTGTGCCGTTCCCAGTGGACGAAAAAATATATTACGTTACCTCCATCCAACCAACGAGCTTCAAACCACAAACAACCGTCTTAATTGTACATTTAAGATATTGCTTCGCTGGCCCAGTCCCAGGTAAAATACGTGGATCATTGAAACGCAGTTACCAATGCTCCTTCAGTGTTTTGTTTTGTCAGAGGGTAAAAGTAGTATACACCGAAACCGGCGGCGAAGTGGATAACACAACAAGGAGTGCTTGTCGTATTCGGCTTGACTACAAGAAATCTACAAATGCGTCTGAATCCTAATGAATGTCGATGCAGAATCATCTGTTGGAAACATGTAAATGTCTTCAATCATTAAAACGTATACAGTATCATCTAATGCTTGACATAATATACAGATCAGGTAGTCGTTGAACAAGAACGATATCTATCGCGTCTTCCCACTACCAGTGGGGTTGATTATAATTACAACTTAAGACCGACCGGACAAATAGCCAGTGGCTCAAGAAAAAGCAGCAAAGCAAGTGCTGTTGGCCTGGGAGTCCTCCCAGCCGACACACTTCCAGCAGCTCAGCAGACCAGTAGGGTCATACTTGTGCTTGATGGAGAGGAGCTTCTCATAGTTGTCGCCCCACCAGGCCTCCTGCCAGTCAACAGTGAAGGCGTTGGCCTCGTTGCTGTAGGCGCCACTTCCAGGGGTGATACGCTCTAGGGTAGCAGTCATGTTCTGCAGAGTGGCAATCTTTTGCTCGCGGGTCTGCAGGGTGCTGTTCCAGGCCCAGCTGCTGCCGGAACCCAGCTCCCAGACGGACTTGCGCCAGGCGGGGGAGGCACTGGTGGAGCCCTCAGTGTAGTTGTACAGAACGGGGGCGACGACGGGGATGTAAGGGGTCTGGCCGTTGGCGAGGATGAGCTCGAAGAAGTCCATCAGGTTGGAGCGACCCTCGGCGGTCTCGAAGACGTCGGTGGGGATCAAGCGACTGCCAGCGAAGTGGGTGACACCAACGCTGACGGAGCTGGAGGTGACGTACTTCTCGTAGAAGTCGTACCAGGAAGAGAAAGCCTCGATGACGGCGGAACCACCCTGAGCCTTGGCGTAGGCGGCAACCTCGGCCATGGAGGCATTGGCTTCAGCGACGGAGAGCAGGGGGGAGACGTTGACGAGGGTGTCGCCAGTGACGTGGCCACCCCAGCCTTCCTTGGCCCACTTCAGGGTGTTGTTGACAACGATGTCCATGAAGGGGAGGACGTTGGTGGAGTTGCTGGTGAACTTGATGATGGCGGCGACGAAGCTGACGGTGGGCTCGACGCGGTGAGTGCTCTCGAGGACAACACCAAAGGTACCACCACCGCCACCACGCAGGGCCCAGAAGAGGTCCTGGTTCTGGCACTCGTTGGCGATGCGCAGCTCGCCATCCGGGGTGACAACCTTGAACTGGACGACACGGTCGACACCAAGACCATAAACGGGGGAGAGGACCGAGTGACCACCGTTCATGACCCAACCGCCAGAGAGACCGACCGTGGGGGAGTAACCACCGAGGATAGTGACGTTGTTCTGGTGAGCGAACTCATAGGCTTCATCGAAGTTAACACCAGCACCGGCAGTGATAGCGTTGTAGGAGGCCTGGCAGCCATCGGGGACAAAGGCGGGGCTGTAGCTGATGTTCTGCAGCTTGCGAGTCCACAGGGCCAAGGTACCCTTGCCGCTGCTGCGGGCCAGGTAATCATGACCACTGTTCTTGATGGACAGACGGGTACCAGAGCAGTTGGAGAAGTGCAGAGCGTGGCGGACATCGGAGTCATCTTTGACCTCGATGTAGTAGGAGGGCATGTTACCCTGACGGCAGGTCTGGTTGACAAAAGCCAGAGGATCGGTGGGGTCGCTGCTATCGAGCAGACATTGATCCTCGGGGTTAGACGAGCACATCTCATCCTGGTTGTTCATGTAACCATTGGGAGAGTTGGTGCGGAGGTAAGGGTCGGTGTAGTTGTCCTGGATGTTGGCGCAGGCGGCATCGTTGGGAGTGACGGACTGGCCATTGTAGTTGGAGAAGCAAGGGAGGGAGAAAGGAGTCAAGGGCTGTACACGACCCTGTAGGGTAGTGTTGAGGCTATCGAGAGTGCATGAGCAACCACAAGCGGAGCCCAGTCCAAAGAATTGGACGGCCAGAAGGGCCAACGAGGTCTTGGAAGGCGAAGGCGTCATTCTTCAGGGCTGCCACGCGATTGTGAGACAAACTCGGCGGAAGGGAACGGGGAAACAGCGACGATCGCGACCATTTGAATGAACGGTCGGGGCCAACGTTCAGGGGAAATTTTCTTACCTTCGGGAAAAACGGAAGGAACGGACCAATTCAATGTCTCATACGATTCATACGATTCAAAGCTATTGAATACTGGGTGGGCAAAGGTTGTGGGTTGTGGAGGAAGAATTGCTTGGTAGCTGGAGAGTGCGAGATGCGGCAGTTGGGCGACATACGCCGCAACCGGGGCCCGTAGCTGTGAAGAAAACCCAAGGAAGCTGCATGGAGTTGTAGGTGGACCCTTTGCTCCACCATGGCTGGCATAAACTATGTAGTGCCACCAATCATAAATGTTGAACGGGTGGAATCTTGACGCAGGTCCCCGTTGGGGCTTGTTGGTAAGTGGAGTTAGGTTTCGGTCGACGTCCGAAGCTTTTCCTTGAATGCACACCACCACGTTTGCCCACACAATAGATCGTGGCTGCCTTCTTCACCCTACGCTAGATTACCACGGAGTACTAGTACTCCGAAAAGTATTAGACCACTACTACCATTGTGTACCTGCACAATCGGACCATGTGGACACCATCTGAGACCAGCGTCTCAAATTGATTGCACCACGGTGTCTCTCGGGTTTTCTTCGCTCGGTAACTATCTTCCTGCAGGAAGACCCCTGAAGCCCATCGCACGGCATGCCGGCATAGACCACGCGAAGGAATTTTATCCACACACACACCACCGATGATCCTTGCCATGTCTTCCCTCAGCCCCCCAGAATCCCAGCTGATGGATTGCTGGGGTTTTAATCACCACCAGATATATGCTGATGATCGCAGTGGTACGGACCAGTTCCCAGCGGGACGCACAGCGCATTGAACACGGCGGACAGAAAGATCGACCTCTGAACCACGGTCGCAGACAAGCCACCTCGATCAATTAGCGCCGCTTACTCAGTGTCAATCTATTCTGGTCTCAGTCCTGGCTCGTCAATCTAGCGGCGGAGAAAGTTAAAAAAGTTAAAATTTCGCCGAGCCGTGGAAATGGAAAGCCAATGAATCCTGCATCCGGCTCAAATAGTCTTGCACAAATTAGCGGACGCCTTCCCAATCTTAATTGTAGCTCCGACCGGGCTGAGTCTGAGTTAAAGAATCGCATCCCCTTGCCCGTTAGGTTCTGGTGGCGACGACAGCCCTTTCGTAATATTATTCATTAATTCGGATCCTTCTTGCACAGAACCACAAAAGACCACAGATCCCCCTCTTCCCCCCTCCCTGAAATGGGAAACTTATATGGAATCGCCTGACCCGCCTGGTCGCTGCTCCCTGCATCGCTGACTCGTATCGCCGGCCGTGCAGGATGACTTACGAAGAGAATCGGTACTGGAAGAATGTCCTGACCATCGTACCCATCATCGGTGCTGCCCTGGCCACCGTTTCGTATGTCCTGCGACTATATTC